AGAGAGAGTCCGGGAGCCGGTGCGGTGGTGGCGCAAGCTAGCAAGAAGGCACCCGGGCGAGCTGGCGGCGATGGCGCCGGGCGTCCAGCCTGGCGACCCCGCGGAGGCGGCGGCGAGCGTAGCTAGAGCGTCCCGGCCCGCGTCCGTGAGCGAGGCCGCGGCAGAGCCAGTGTGGGGCGCGCCCGCGAGCGAGGCCCCAAGTGCTCTGGAGCTTGAGGCTGGTAATCAATCGCCTTGCTGTTGCCGCGGGGGAGCCGCGTCAGGGCCTTGGTGTTGGGGCGTGGGCCGATTGCGGGTGTCGTAGGTTTCTCTCTTTCAGGCTTGCGTCCTCAGGCATCTTGTCTGGAGCTTGTGAGGGCAGCCTGCCAAGGCCTGGAAGGATGGTAGATGGCAAGCTTTTTGGTTTTGTTGTTCGCCAGTTGGAGGAAGACCAAATGAACTGGCTAGAACCAAGTGTGAGACGCAGTTTCAGCACGTTTGTAAGCAGTTTGTGTGTTGAGTCGGGGCGATGGAGTATTTCAGTTTTGTGAGATGACCTGCCGTTTTCTCCCCCGAAGTGGTTTTCTAAACGTGGAGTTCGGTTGCATCACTGGGGCGACTTCTTTCGTGTGGGGGCGGGGCAAAATGTTTTGAGTTCTTTTCCCCGTAGGTCTGAGTTGACAGAAAACGAGACAATCCAGTATCAGCATAATCAGCACCACAGGTTACAGTTTCTAGGAACTAGAGCACCAGTAGTTCTCACGTTAAGGTCTTGGAGGAGCTGTCCATTGGAGAAGTGGCGGGTAGTTGCTTTTCTTCCCCTCCCCCTTAATGGGACCTTCAGGGCGCTTAACCCCTTCAACTTGCTGTTTTTACTTGAAGTGTTTTGGGATGGTCTTACCAGGGAGAGAGGGTGGGGGGGAAATGTTTTTTTCTAAGATTTTCCACAGATGCTATAGTACTATTGCCAAACTGGGTTAGAGAAGGAGTGTGCGCACGCCTGTGCTGTTGGCACCAACACCTTCAGGTACTGGAGCTGCTTTTATCCCTCCCTGGACGAGTATTCCCAGTTGAAGCTGAAAAGTACAGCACAGTGCAGCTTTGGTTCATGCTCAGTCAACTCAGGAGAACTTCAGAAGAGCTTGACTAGGCCAGATGTTGAAGTTAAGTTTTCAAGTAATGTGCCTTTTAACATGCTTTATTAAAGGGGAGGGGCAGACGTTGGCAATTAGCAGTTGGCAGTGACCTGTTCATGGTTGGGGCGGGGGGGTCGGGTTAGGTAATTGTTTAGTTTATGATTGCAGATAACTCATGCCAGAAAACTTAAAATCTTAGAATGGAGTACGAAATCTCAACTTCCAAGTTGGCAAGTAACTCCCAAGTTCTTGTTTTCCCTCAATTTTTGAATTGGGCAGCTCGGGAAGTTTACGAAGAGCCACTGGGTGTACCAGTGCATTAATTTGGACAAGGAAAGCACTATAATTTGCCAGGTTCTCTGTTCCCCTCAAAGTACACTTGGGGGAAAGTGTTAGACTGGGGGTTGGTCTGGCCCCCGGGACTGACGTTAGCAACAACCTTGGGAGTATTTTAAAAAATGCAAAAGTTGTCTGGATATGGTAGTGTGTGGTTCTCTTTTGGAATTTTTTTCAGGTGACTTAATGTAACTTAATACTACTATAGAAACTTCAGAGCAAAGGAAGTGGCTTAATGATCCTGAAGGGATTTCTTCTCATGGTAGCTTTTATATTCTCAAGTAAGAATCTATTCTCAGTTGTGTGTAAGCCGAGTTTTTTTGTAGTGTAGGAGGTATTTTTCCATTGTATGACTGCAGAACACGATGTTAAGGTACGCTTCAAAAGTCTGTAAATTGTGTATTTTAAGTTTGTGTCTATTTGTAACTCAAGACTGATTAAGAATTGTGATTGGTTCAGTTTGAATGTCTCTTAGAGGGTGGGCCTTTGTTGATGAGGGAGGGGAAACTTTGTTTTTGTAGACTTTTTTCAGATAACGTCTTCTGAGTCATAACCAGCCTGGCAGTGTGATGGCCTAGATGCAGTGGGATCCGCTCCTTGGTGAATGATAAGTAAAGGCAGAAAAGATGACATGTCACGCCCCACTGGGGAATGAGCATAACCCTGAGGTCCTCACTACTGATGAAAACGTTGTCTGCGTATGCCAAAAAAAAAAAAAAAAAAAAATTAAGCAAACGAAAGCCACCAATTTAAAGTTATGGAATCTACCATTTTAAAGTTATGGCTTGTCAAGCTATACCCACACAAATAATGAATTGATGAGAAATGCAATGAAGATCAGATGTCCATCTCAAAACTGCTTTTACAAAAGCAGAATTTTAAAAAGATGAAATGAAAATGATTATACTACATTAATCCTGGAATCAAAGAAGCCGAAATAAATGAGTTGGGATCAAGCGGATTGAGGAGGCTGTGCTGGGTGCCAATCTTTCGTTTGCCTCAGACAGGTTTCTCTTCGTTATCAGAAGAGTTGCTTCATTTCTTCTGGGAGCAGAAAACAGCAGGCAGCTGTTAACAGATAAGTTTATAACTTGCATCTGCAGTATTGCATGTTAGGGATAAGTACTATTTTTAAGAGCTGTGGAGTTCTTACGTATCAACCATAGCACTTTATCCTGACCCTTTCTCTAGGGGATTTCAGGATTGTGAGGAATTTTCCCATCCAGGCTTTTAAGATTAGACGTAGGACTTGTGCCTGTGGGTTTACCTGATGGGCTAGTACACCTCACTTAGAGGCGTTCTGCATCTTTTAATTTCTTAAAAGCCTCTAAAGTGATTCGTGCCTTAATCATAATGCTTATAAAACGAAGGGAGTTTATTTAATCATTGAATCTCCGAAGGCCCTATGAAGAGGATAGCATGAGTGCTATGTTAAGAATCAGATGTTGAGCGTGCTAAAATTTAAATGTTGTGTTGTGATATGTATTGTGTAGAAAACCATTAAATCATTCAAAATAATAAACTATTTTTACTAGAGATGTATATTTTTAGAAAGCTGTCTCCTTATTTAAATAAAATATTGTTATTGTCTGTAGTTAGTGTCGGGGCAATCTTGGGGGGATTCTTCTCTAATCTTTCAGAAACTTTGTCTGCGAACACTCTTTAATGGACCAGATCAGGAATTGAGCGGAAGAACGAATGTAACTTTCTTAAGGCAGGAAAGACAAATTTTATTCTTCATAAAGTGATGAGCATATAATTCCAGGCACATGGCAATATAGAGGCCCTCTAAATAAGGAATAAAATACCTCTTAGACAGGTGGGAGATTATGATCAGAGGAAAAGGTAACTTACAATTTTGTTTCCAGAAAGTCAGCGGGCTAATAATTTGGAGTGTCAAACTAGAGTGATTAAAATACTTTCCCACATCTCCAAAGTTTGCATGTCAACTCGAAATGCTTAGGATCTTCAAGTGTTAGACAATGTTTTACGCTGCTGGCGTGGGGGGCCTTGTGGGTTTTTAAAGAATTTTCCTTTACAGAGGCTTCATTTCATCCTTCACGAAGTTGTTCAGGATTTTGACTTGCATATGAGTGCTTGGCTCTTCATCTTCTAGTGAGTGTATGAGACCTTGCAGTGAATTTGTCAGCATACTTACTCAATTTTTTTTCTTGGAATCTGGAGGGAAGGGCGGAGGGGGCGGGGCTTACTTGTTTTAGCTTTTTTTTTCAGGCTTCACAGAGAATGCAGTTGTCTTGACCTCAGGTCTGTCTGTTCTGTTGGCAAGTAATTACGCAGTACTGTTCTGATCTGCTGCTATTAGAATGTATTGTGAAACGACTGAAGTATGATGAAAAGTTGTGCTCCCCATGCTTGGAGTAGTGGTTGTTGGAGGAAAATCCAGCTGAGTGATAAATAAAGGCTGAGTGTTGTGAGGAAATTACCTCCAGCTTGTAAGCAGTCTGTTGTGATTGAAGCTGAGAATACCCTTTGCTGTGCTGCTTTAGGTAAAATGCTTTTTGTTCATTTCCGGGTGGGGGGCACTGAAGCCTTTAGTCTTTTCCAGATGCAACCTTAAAATCAGTGACAAGAACCAAATTCCAAACAAGCAAGCCTTCAAGAAATGTAACTGGCAAGTGGATATGTTTACCAGTTCAGTGATCTTAGTGCATTGTTTTTGTGTGGGTTTCTCTCTCCCCTCCCTTGGTCTTAATTCTTACATGCAGGAACATTCAGAACAGCAACATACGTATGCGAAGGGCCAGAGAAGCCAGACCCAGTAAGAAAAAATAGCTCATTTACTTTAAACAAATCAAACATTCCATTTTAAATGTGGGGATTGGGAACCACTAGTTCTTTCAGATGGTATTCTTCAGACTATAGAAGGAGCTTCCAGTTGAATTCACCAGAAGACAAAATGAGGACAACAGGTGAACAAGCTTTTTCTATGTTTGCATTCAAAGTCAGATCAGTTTCAGGAAAAAAGCCAAGTGTTGAATAGGCCAGCTTTATGCTGCAGTTTAGCAGGTGAGCGAGTTGTGTGTTGGCGCGGGGGTGGAGGGGTGAGGTGGGCGCTAAGCCTTTTCTTAAGATTTTTCAGGTACCCCTCACTAAAGGCATCGAAGGCTTAAAAGTAGGACAACCATGGAGCCTTCCTGTGGCAAGAGAGACAACAAAGCGCTTTTATACTAAGGTCAAAGTGGCATCGGCCTCATAACCCAGTTTTTGCTAGCAATAAGGACCTGCCTCAACACCCACTTTCCAGAGTGAAGCTTCCAAAGGAATGCTTGAGTGTCCGTGGGCTTCCCTTAACGTTTTGCAAGCTGTTTTTATAGCAGCTTTTAGCCAGGCCCACATCTCAAGTGGTGCTTGACGGGGAGGGAAAGGGGGAAAGCGGGCAACCAGTTTTCCCAAACTTTTCCAGCAGCCTGTTAAAAACGAGGCCTCCCCACAAGCGACTTCTCTGCCACGTCGCCACCCCCTGCCTTTGGCCTAGCACAGACCCTTCACCCCTCACCTCGATGCAGCCGGTAGCTTGGATCCTTGTGTGGGCATGATCCTTAATCGGTTTCAAGGTAACAGTGGTGCCGAGGTCTCGGGCGGGTTGCACTCGACTAGAAAAGCCCATTAATTTGCCTGCGGATTGTTAACAGAACGTTATTGAAACCACATCCAAGTAGCTCTAAGGTGTTTGACATATCATAACACTTACCCATCGACTAAAACCACCTTAAACCATTAAGTGAAGAACTGCCTTGTTGGGTGGGAACGTCTTAACTTGCAGCCAGAAGGAGATAGGCATTTTAGTGGTTGAGGGCTGTTGGGGAGGTATGCACAATTTCTCTGCTAAGACTTTTTCAGGTGAACATAACAGACTTGGCCAAGCTAGCATCTTAGCGGAAGCAGATTCTCCAAAGCTCTTCAGTAGGGCTGTGAAGGTTTTTCTTTTCCTGAGATAACAAAAATCTTTTTGTTATCTCAGGTTTTGCTTTTTGGCCTTTTCCTAGCTTTAAAAAAAAAAAGCAAAAGATGCTGGTGGTTGGCACTCCTGGTTTCCAGGACGGGGTTCAAATCCCTGCGGCGTCTTTGCTTCACTGTAATGCCAGTCTTCCGGGCTCTTTCCATTTTCCCCCTCCTGGCAGGGGCTAGGCTCTGGCGCCTGGAAAGTGGAAGGTAACCGTACGGTACTTTCACACTAGACATTCCCTGATGTTGCGTTTGTCACAAGCCTGACTTGATTGTGTGTTTGAATTACATGAAAACCTCATGTGACTGACTTGTATTTCATTTTCAGGTATTCCCTGTGCAGCTAGTGCTTGGAGAATGCCTACTGTTGAAAACTTGCGATTCCATGTAATAAAGAATGGAAAGGTCTAAATTGGTGTGGTTCTTTTGTGTATAAACCAAATCTGAGTAGGTGGCAGAAGACTGGGTGTCTGGGCTCTATTGCCTTGTTCAATCTGTGGCCCAATAACAAAAGTTGCCCAGTTACAGCATAATCCTCAAGTAGGGAAGAGGCTTGCGAGTGGTGGAACAGCAATGGATGAGTGTCCCACTAAAAATTACCGAGTTAGCTGGGCTTGGTGGCTCAGCCTGTAATTCCAGCGCTTTGGGAGGCTGAGGTGAGTGGGTTGCCTGAGCCCGCGGGTTTGAGACCCGCCTGGGCAACTTGGCAAGACCTCATCACTATAATAAATCAGAAATCAGCCGGGCGTGGTAGCACGCACCTGTAGTTCCAGCTACTTGGGAGGCTGAGGCTGAAGGATCGCCAGAGCCCAGCAGGTCGAGGCCGCGGTGGCCGGGAGAGTGCCACTGCACTCCAGTCTGGGTGACAGTGAGACTCCAACTTAAAAAAAAAAATTACGAGTAAACACGGGGGATTTCAAGCAGCCCCCTTCCCACTGTTAAAGTAGCAATTGGCTGTCAACTGGAGTGGAGAGAAAACACCTGGGGGTGGAGAGGGGGCTTCCGTTGCTGCTGTGGGAGACCCTTTGAAGTTTATAGAGGTTCTTTCAGCGAATGAAGCTCTGATCCCCCTTTCCCAAATTCCTGGGTGACTCAGGATATTCTCACACTCTTGACAGTGGCCAAACATCTGTTGGGTTGGTGGGCCTCTTGTCCCATGGAATGTTCTAGGTTCCTAGCAGCATCTGGTTCCTGGGAGGACTGGGCAGGATCCCAGGGGATTGGATTCCTGTGTTGCAGGTGAAACAACTCCCTGATTCCCTGACCATCCTTGGCCCCTCTCCCTGAGGTGAGAGAACGCTTTCCCTGGGCTTCATTCCAGTAAACCCAGCCAAGGAGGGACCCAGGTCTAAAGCTGCCCCCAGCACGCTGTCTCAGTCTGGGGAGCCTGCGGGGACTGGCCACCACTCCTCGCTGGAGAGGGGCAAGCAGAGCTACCCTTACTGAACTCCGCTCTGGAAGGGACTACATTTTACAAATGTAAAAGCAACCTCTGCGTAACCGGCAAGGCAGCAGAGCTGGGATTCGAACATTCAACACTTGAACCTCTAGATTGCTGTCTTCAGTGCACAGAATGTTCTTAGAGATGAAGCAACGGCCCAGTAGGTCAGCAGCAGACCAACCCTGACCTACTCTGCCTGTGCAGGCCCTGCCACAGAGGCTTTCTACCCCTGCCCAAAGGGCTCCAAGGCAGGCAAGAGGGAGATTTCTTCCTGATAATGGTAGAAGCTGGACAACACGCTGCATGGTCACCGGGGTCGTCAGGTGAGTTTCTGTTCTGAATTGTCGTCAAGTCTCAGTGTCTTGGAGAAAGGCCCCTGTTTTTTCAGAGCAGAATGCTCCATGGAGAACAAAGGAGTAGAAGGGGCTGGGCTGGGCTCGGTGACTCAGCCTGTCATCCCAGCACTTTGGGAGGCCGAGGCGAGTGGATTGCCTGAGCCCACAGGCCGAGACCAGCCCGGGCAACTTGGTGAACCCTCA